TCCCATATATTTTGGAGATGGTTGTTCACAGATGACCGCTCAGATGCCTAAAACTCCAATAGCTAGATGAGCTACTTTTAAGGCCCCATACACTTCAATAGGAATGCCTGAAACAACTGAATTGAGCATTTTTTCAGGAGTATTTAAGGCATTTTTGAGCCTGTAAGAACTGCTTTCCTCTCCTTAGTGTGTTCGTTGTTTCAAACAACAGCACCTGAAGTATGAATACACATGTACAACACTTGAATGACACTTCTAAAGCGCTCATAAAAGCAAGCAAAAACCCTGAAATGAAACACCTGAAAATCGCTCTGCTCAGGTATGAATAATGCAGCCTCAGGTCCAAATAAGGGCTTAGGTTCATAAGTGAATCTTTGAGCTAGGCTGTGCATCTTTGCAGACATGTTCAAGCAGAGATTTCTCATAACCACAACACTTAGAACAGTGTTTGTCAACCCTGTTCTAGGTAATGTGGTTTAGCACCCTTTAAAAAAAAAAAATTTAAATCTCGAGGCACCCCAGTCTAAAAATGTAAAAAATGTAAACGTTACCCAAAACCTGAAATGAAACTTGGGCCTTCGACAATGCCTTAGACAACATCAGAAGCCCCCCTTCGCATCAGAGGCCCCTCATCACAGATCTCCCTATAAATAAAGATACCCCGCATCCTATCATTACTAGAAGCCCCCCATTCACACAGTCCCCCTTCACAACAGAGCTCTACTTTTCAGCCAGCAGTGCAGCAAAAATAATACCTAGTGTCCTGGATGAGCATCATGCGTTCCTATAATGTTGGCAGCCAGCCCACTCAAACCATGGCAAAAAAGCCTTGTACATCATGGCCATAGATTTTAATTGGTTGTTACGGTGCTAAAGGTTGCCCCAGCCACACCATGGCAACTCATGATGCTACTTCAGAGTAAACTGGGTCCCCTGCTCGTGGCACTCGGATTAAAAGACAATGACATAAAAAAACCACCGATCAGACTTTGGACAAAACAAATGGGGACACTCAGTCTACATAGGCAACATGGGTTGGCTTTGATTACATGGCAGCTAAAAACACTGCTGGCCAAACGAATGGTGAACCCTATTCACTGTGCACCAATTATTTTCAATTGTAAGTAAATGAAGGATTAAATACCAATATACTGTAAATGTTCTGTACATTTAAGGGCCAATTCACACCAGATGTGGTGGGACTGTGTTAGGCGGCTATTTCAGCGCAGTCTCACTGCATGACAAAGGAAAATGCCTTGTCTCCAGTGTGCCCGGTTTCTCACCCCTGCTTTGCGGTGGTGTAAGGGCATGAAGGGCTGAAAAGTACTACATGCACTACTTTTTTTCAATGCAGTGCAAGGCTCCGCCTCATCTGGCGGCCTACTGAACTTTTTTGAAATGTCACATAGAAATTTTATAACGTTTGTTAAAAAAACAAAAAAAACAAAAAAAAAGGAAGGAGCAGTGCAATTATCCCGCCAGACCACACCGCACACTAGCAGCTGTGTGTAAAAGGACCCTAAATCTGATTTTTGTTTTTTTTTTAAGATATCAGTCCATGTGGAACAATAGTCTTCAAAATCTCCAGTTAGGCAAAAATGAAAGTGTGCCACTAAAAGGTATTGGCCTGCTGGGCAAAAGACTATAATTCTGTTCTCGCAACATGTTCAAAGAGGTATTGCAACCTGAGGAAAACAAAAAGATAGGATGAGATTAAAAAAAACAACAAAAAAAACGACTAGAGTGAACATGGAAAAGATGTAACGAAATTCTTCAGACATTTTTTAAAAGATGAACTCCAGGCAACAACTAAACACTCTGCTGAAATAAATACTCTGCTGAAATAACCTGCCAAAGGAGTTGTATTTCAGTGCAGCCAGTTTTGTGAGTAAGGCACCTGTGCTAAGCAGCACAACCTGACCTCTGACATCCACTACAGCAGCATAGTCACATAAAGGTGATGAGGTCATCACTCTGCAGTATCTCCCTGTCAACATGTCTACTGTCAGCACACAGCCTAAAAGAGATAGATAATAGAGATATATATATATATATATATATATATTCTCATTCTCTCTCTCTCTGACAATTGTCAGTTTGGGATTTGCTTGAGTTGCATTCACATTGGCTAGCATGGAAGAGTAAAAGCAAACTAATAGGCCCCGATCACACAGTACCATATCCGATCCAGTCAGCAAAATCAGCTCACAAATCCCCTGCCGATCGGAGCAGAGCGGGGTGGATGACACATCCATGTCCACTCAGTTTCTGCAGAGAGGACACGGACAGAGGCAGACCTTTTACTACAAAACATTGGTTTTCTGGCAGCTTCTCTCTGATCCAGGTAAACTAACTGGTTTCTAAACTCCAAGTGGTAAGAAAATCTCACGCATTTCAATGTCAGCGACGCCTTCATTGCAGCATGCACAGCTCAGTGAATATTATAAAAAAAAACTCTCTAGAAGGCAGGTAAAAAAAAAAAAAAAAAATCTCACTTTCAATTAAATATTTCCTTGAAAAAGAAAAGAGTATCAACTGCTGACCTCCTACTGAAAATGATGTTGGCTATGGTGACCCACTGGGGGTTGATTACTAAAACTGAAAAAAAAAATCTGCTGCAGCTCTGAATAGAAACCAATCAGCTTCCAGGTTTTTTTTTAAAATAAAAAGCATCATTGAACAAGCTGAGGTTACAAGCGGATTCAGTACATCTACAACACTGAGTCACTGACTCTAAACAAGTACATAGAAGAAGAAAAGTCAGACATCCTCATCACATGCTTCTTCCAGCTCAGCTACTCAATTTACTGAAGTAAAAGTGGCAGAATGGCAGCCATGCAACTATCAAAAAAAGGAGATGTCAGTAATGGCAACCTCTGTGTTTATGGCATGACAGGTCTTCTTTATAATGCCTTGTTATATTCATTATTCCAGGAGTTAACAACCTCATGAAATGACAGCATTAAATACAAAGCAACAGGTTACGTGTAAAAATATAGCTTGTAAACGCCAAACAGTTTATTTGAGCTTTTTACTTATAGCCTATTACATTCCACACCTTACTACCCACAGGGTGTACCATAGGCACTCCTATAATCTGGGCAAAATGTTGAACTTTTTGTCTAGATTATAAGAGTCTTCCGTTCAAATCCAAATCATGACACTATCCGCAGCGAGTTTGCATGTTCTCCCTATGTCTGCGTGGGTTTCCTCCAGGTTTTCCTCCAGGTACCCCAGTTTCCGCCCTCACTCCAAAGACATGCTGGTAGGTTAATTGGCTCCGGTCTAATTTGGCCCGATTATGGATGGATGTGAGCATAAAGCTGTTGGCACTATATAAATACCCGCAATAAAAAAATAAAAAAAATAAAACTGCTACCTCCATTGCAATTTTTTTTTTTATGAGCTCTTACCTTTTTATGTGGGTAATCCTCAAAAAGCATACTTACATGCTTAGCGAATCCAGCGTTATTCTGTTGTAATCTGTCCCTCTGCTGCTGTGCCTCTAGTCTGCCATCTTACTTTAAGTCATCAGGAGCTGGCAGCCTCTTCCTGGTCCTTGCAGCCAGCCACCTGATCATTCAGCGCCAGATCATGCACATGCATAGTCAGAAATCTGGGACCATGTGTTTCACAATGTATTGTCATAGTGTCAGGAAATCTCCACCCACGGCCTTCTGTACAACATATCACAAAACCAAAAAGACTACAAGGCCACAGATGCCGAAGTCTTGTGAGATCTTATGACACTATGACAACATATGATATGAAAACCATGGTTCCAGATTTTGTGCATGCGCAGGCAGAGATCTGGCTTCACCATTAGATGTAGCTATAGTGTCAGGAGGTACCGCAAGTTTTTGGCCCTTCAGCTTTCTGGGTTGCATAACACAGAAGGCTACCTATGAGGCTAAAGCAGAGAAAATCTGTCTTTTTTGCAAAGAAGAAAGTGAAGAACAAAAAAAAAAAAGGTATTTCCAAAAAAAATATGTAACTGTTAAAGGGGTAAAGAGTAATATGCAGTGTGAAAAATAAGGTGGAAATGGTGCTTTAAGACCTCCTTCACATGGGTATCTGCATACAATGGGTACCAGCAGCAAGAATTAGTGGATTCTTACCCCTAGTTCACATATATGCGGCTGTGCGGGCCACATTTTGCGTGGTCACGAGAGCCATTTTAATGGACTCCCATGACCGTGACACGCAGGGAAGAAGTCCCTGCACTTCTTTGGAAAACGCAGCCTGTACGGGAACCACCCAGTACGGTTGCATTTTCCAGTGTGGGCGGTGTGCCATTAGAACTAGTGGCACCCACCCACGGGTCCAGTCCTCTGTGCAGGTGGGGCGGGTGCACGGATTTTGTGTGGATTCGCAGCGGCACACCCACACAGATGTAAACCTAGCCTTAGGCCCCATTCACACTTGAGCGATTTGTAGCTCGGAGCTCCAGAACATTTGAGGAGAAAAAAAAAAATACATTCTCAATGGAGACCACTGATCTCTCAGTTGATCTTCAGTAAGCAGAGATCTGGTGACTGTCAGTCACTGTCTCTGTTCTACCCCTCCAGTGCTCACTGGAGAGCTGGGCTGTGGAGGGGCAGGAGAGAGATGAGCCAGGTGATGGTCAGGCATCTGGGTGGATCCTGACATTAAAATCAGGACCCCTCCAGAGCCTAGACCTGCTGAGTGACTTCAGCCGACAGCGGACTTTAGCCCTCTGTCAGATGAATATGGGTCACAGAGGTGCAGAATGACATGCACCCCTGTGCTCTATAGAAGAAGTTAGTAATATTTAAAGGAGAAGTAGGGCCAAAGCTCTTTTGGCCCTACTTCACCTTTAAATATACTAACTTGATTAGTTTTATTACATAGATGGCATTGATATAGGCAAGTTTATCAAGCTTGGGGGGTATACCTTAAGGAGCCTGCCAGCGTTGACAGGTTGTATATAATCTAGGCTCATACTGCAACAAAACCTCATTTATTTCTACAATAACTCACTTGTCAAACATATTTTTAAGGTAGTTAGGATGAAGCAGGGGTGGACTGACCATTTGGAAACTCAGGCACTGCCCGAGGGCCCGGGGTCAGTAGGGGGCCCCATGAGATGCCCCTGGTACCTTTTTCATAGGCTTTTTTTTGAGTTTGGGCAAGGACACAGGGGCCCCATGATCCCCTATTGGCCGGGGCCCCATGAGTTGTCAGTCCGCCCCTGGGATGAAGCCATGCCAGGTAGCAGTGTATTAATGTGTGGTTTTAATCACCTGTCTTTGTACTGCTCTACTAAAAAATAAAACATGTATGCAGCACAGACTGGCAGCGGTGTGTTATTGTTGAAACATTTATAGGTGCAGTGCCATGGCTGGCAGATCCTGGCACAGGAGGCACAGCAATGACAGGTGTAACCCAGAAAAACAATATACAGGTAATAGAAGGCATGCTGTCATGTCTGATCACAGCTCCTTCCAGGGTCATCTAGACAGATCCATAGTGCAGGGTGACAGTATGGCGACCCTGTCACTGGATCTCATGGACTACAAAAAGCCCAGGCAGGGCCCACTCACCTCCTCCAGGAACTTGGTGACATCGAACACTTTGTGGTGGATGATGATCCAGGTGCTCTTGCTATGATTATGTTTCTGTATCTCTTCCAGGGTGTAGTACTGGACTTTCTGCTCCTTGTCAGCCATGATGGTTCTGAGATATCAGCTCACAGCACTGCTGCTGATTCCTCCAGCGCTCTGCTCTGCACGCTCCTTCCTGCCAGCACTGGAGGTATATGAGAGCCGGCATCCCCGCATCCCTGTAGACGTGCCGCCTCCTCGCCCCTCCCCGGAGTCACTGCATGCTGCTGACGTCTGCTTTGCTGAGCGATTGTCATTGTCAGTGGTCAGGAGCCACACTTTCACTAGAGCACAAGTCAAGGAAATCCTCTTATATGTAAACCCCAAATCCGGACACATTTATTATTTTTTTAAGCTTTTGGCTAGACTCGAATAAAGTAAATGCTTCTGTCTGGTTTTAATTGCTGTATGTGACTCTGGGAGATTTCACCTCACTACCTGTCCATCTGCACACTGGCGGTATTAGAACCTTCAGGGCCCCACTGCAAGAAATCATGATGGGGCCCCCTGACCCCACCGGGGCCCTTCCCTCTGAGCCCAGTAAAAAAAAAAACACCATGGCCCGGTCACAAATGCGACCTTTGTGACCCTTAAGCTTAGGTGAGATGTCAGGAGTCTGAAAACGAAGGAAGGAGAGACCAGAGAAAGGAAGGAAGGAAAGAAAGAAAAGAAAAAGAAAGAAAACAAGGAAAGGAAGGAAAGAAAAGAAAGAAACAGGAAGAAAGAAAAAAATGGAAAGGAAATAAAGAAAATAAAAGAAGGGATGGAAGGAAAGAAAAAAAAAGGAAAGGAAGGAAGGAAAGAAGGAGGAAAGAAGGAAGGAAAAAAAAAAGGAAGGAAGTAAATAAAAGAAGGAAATAAAGAAGGGAAGGAATGATGGAAAGAAAAAGAAAACAAGGAAAGGAAGGAAAGATAAGAAAGAAAGAGGAAGGAAGAAAGAAAAAATAGAAAGGAAAAAAAGAAGGAAAAAAGAAAAGAAGGGAAGGAAGGATGGAAGGAAAGAAAAAGGAAAGGAAGGAGGGAAAAGAAAAGAAACAGGAAGGAAGAAAAATTGGAAGGAAAGAGAAGGAAGAAAGGAAATACAGAAAATAAAAGAAGGGAAGGAAGGATGGAAGGAAAGAAAAAGGAAAGAAAGGAAGGAAAGAAAGAAAAGAAGGAATTAAAGAAAAGAAGGGAAGAAATGATGGAAGGAAAGAAAAAGAAAACAAGGAAAGGAAGGAAGGAAAGAAAAGAAGGAAACAGGAAGGAAGGAAGAAACAAATGGAAGGAAAGAGAAGGAAGGAAATAAAGAAAATAAAAGAAGGGAAGGAAGAATGGAAGGGAAGAAAAGAAAGAAAGAGGGAGGAAGGAAGGAAAAAAAATGAAGGAAAGAAAGAAAAGAAGGGAAGGAATAATGGAAGGAAAGAAAAAGAAAACAAGGAAAGGAAGGAAGGAAGGAAAAAGAAAGAGGAAAGAAGGAAGAAAAAAAAAGGAAAGAAAGAAAAGAAGGAAATAAAGAAACAAAGGGAAGGAAGGATGGAAGGAAAGAAAAAGAAAAGAAGGAAAGAGAGGAAGGAAGGAAAGAAAGAAAGAAAGAAAGAAAGAAAGAAAGAAAGAAAAAAGAAGGCAATACAGAAAAGAAGGGAAGGAAGGATGGAAGGATAGAAAAAGGAAAAAGGGAGGAAAGGAAAGGAAAGAAAAGAGAAAAGAAAGAAAGAGGAAGGATGGAAGGAACTAAAGAAAAAGAAAAGAAGGAAATAAAGGGAAGAAGGTTCTTCCAGGAGAGGATCTAGCTTTCTTTAAATACTGGGGGGGGCTCTCTCGAAACTCAAAGTTTTCATTTTATGTCTGGTACTCATTTAAGGTCCTTAATCTCCGCACAGAATGGGAAACATCGCCCAGGGATAGTTGGAAACATAGACAGCTTCACACATGCTTTGATACCATACCCTTGGATGTGAGATCTTGTATCTCCTTATCTAACTTCGAGTCTATGTGTTTAGATAGGGCAGGTGCTACCCATCTTCTCTCCAAATTATACAAACTACTATTGGAGAAATCGACTACCATGACTCCTTACTACATCCAGGATTGGGAGAAGGAACTGAGCAAAGACCTGTTGGACTGTAGTAAAGATAAAATAACATCCTTAGCTCATACTTCATTGGTTAACACAAAAGCCCAGGAATCTTCCTACAAATTTCTATCCAGATGGTATAAGGTACCTGACAGGCTATCCCGCATTTTCCTGAAAGTATCCAGGCTTTGCTGGAGAGGGTGCGGGCAGGGGGGCACTTACCTATACCTGTGGTGGGATTATCCAGCCATCTGCCCCTTCTAGTTTGCTATTTTAAATATCACTCATGAGATTACACAATCTCAACTGGCAGACTATCCCTTACCCAGGGGCGGACTGACCATTTGGAAACTCGGGCACTGTCCGAGGGCCCGGGGTCAGTAGGGGGCCCCATGAGATGCCCCTGGTACCTTTTTCATAGGCTTTTTTGAGTTTGGGCAAGGACACGGGCCCCATGATACCCTATTTCCTGGTGGCCCCATGAAATGTCAGTCTGCCCCTGCCCTTACCTATTCTATTTCTTGACACAGAACAATCGGTTCAGTCGTACAAACGCTCCTTGATGCCTGATCTCCTCAACACTGCTAAATGTCTTATCCCAATTCACTGGAAATCTCCTGTGATACCCCCAGTCAAGGAATGGCTGCAGAAGGTACAGGATATTATGGAGGTGGAAGAGTAGAGACATCAATGTGCACATACTTATGATAAATTCTGTAGGTGTTGGGCCCCATGGCTTGTGTTTCTTACTTCTGACATGTATAGACAATTAATGTTGTAATTGTTGTATTTCATTTTGAAAGACATGTTTCTGTTATCGATATCCTTAAACGACTTTTTGACCAGGACAGATTATATATTTTATGTGTTTTCTATGGCTATCTTTTCATCTGTTTGCCCCTCTCTTGGTGCACCCCCCCCCCCCCTTTTTTTCTTTTTTCTTTTTTTTTCCACATTTCTGTTTGGTTTTTTATAAGATTTCAGGTGGGGCACTCAACAATGTTTATTACTTACTAGCTAGGCATTTATTTGACTCCTGCAACATGTAACAATGTAATGATATTTCTTTGGTGACCGTTTCAGTCTTCTCTTTGGAATGTATATACTGATTATTTTCTATATTGACTTATGTATAAATAAAGATTTAAGATAAAAAAAAGAAAGGGAGGAAGGAGGAAAGGAAGGAAAGAAGGAATTCAGGCATACAGGGGGCCACATGGGCTCCTTTAGCTTGGGGCCCCTGTAGCTATGTCCCTGCTCTGACAATAAATGAAGGGCAATCACTGTGACACAGTTAGACACTTTAGTGGGACTGGTGTGGTGTCAAGCGCCGCTGCCTGTGACCTGCCAGGCCCCATTCACATCTAGCAATTAGGAATCGTGGACAGAATCAGCGCAATTCTGCCCACCTTTCCAAAGTGCACTGAAATAGCATCAAAACGCCAACAAGTGTTTGGGTGCCATTTAGCACTGCTCTACTTTGCCACTTGCCCTCCAGAGGATTTACCCCCCTCTTCCTGACCAGGCCAATTTTTGCAATACGGCACTGTGTTACTTTAACTGACAATTGCGCGGTCATGCAACACTATACATAAATATAATTTATGACTTTTTTTCCCACAAATAGAGCTTTCTTTCAGTGGTATTTCATCACCTGTGCTGTTTTTATTTTTTTTGCAGTATAAACAAAAAAAAGACCATTTTGAAAAAAATATATTTTTGACTTTTTGCTATATCCAGTAAAAAAAATGTCTTCATAAATTTAGGCCAAAATGTATTCTGCAACATGTCTTTGCTTAAAAAATCCCAATACATGTAAATAATTGGTTTACGTGAAAGCTATAGCTTGTCCAGTATATATACTGGAATTAAAAAAAAAATGTTATACTAATAATGACAGCAATCAGCGAATTATAGCAGGACTGCGGGACTGCGACGGGCATTCTGACACTGGGTGGGAACTGACTAATTGCCACTGACATCTTAATGACCCTAATACAGTGATCAGTGCTAATAAAAAGTGCTGACACTATACTAATGACACTGGGCAGGAAGGGGTTAACATCTGGGGTGATCAAGGGGTTACAAATGTGATGTTTTACATCATGTGCTATGTGTGTTTTTACTAATGAGACATGCTGCTGTGTATTTCACTGCTGTGCAGAGAAATACACAGCAGCATGTCCTTGTTGGCAGGAGAGAGACCTGTGTTGTTTGCACACAGGTCTCTCCTCTGTCATTTCCACACAGCAAGTGAGGGGAATCTCTTGCTAGGACCCGGTGACTGACATCCGTAGCCACCAAGGGGGGTGCAGGTAGAGCTGCACTCACCCCCTACTTGGGATTTTGTGCAGCCCTGCCTCCCTGTAGCAGTGGTTCTACTATAGGGCAGCGGGAAAGCAGTTAACTGGTAATTGTGCGGTCAAAATAAATGTTTAACTTTTTTTCACACAAATAGAACTTTCTTTTTGTGGAACTTTTTTGCAATATATACAAAAAAAGACCGAAAAATTATATAAAAAAAACAAAACAATATTTTTTACTTTCTACTACCAAATATATCCAATAAAAAATGTAAAAAATCTAATTTCTTCATAAAATTTGGCCAAAATGTATTCTGCTACGTCTTTGATAAAAAATAAAAAATAATCCTAATAAGTGCATATTAATTGCTTTGTGTGAAAGTTGTAGTGCCTACGAACTACGGGATATTTTATTTTATTATTTTTTTTTCAATACTACTAATGGTGATCATTGACTTATAATGAGATTGCGATAGTGCAGTGGGCAATCCGACAATAACTGACGCTGGGGGGATTTTATTAACTGCCACTGACATCACCAGTGACACTAATACAGTGATCAGTGATAATGTACACTGCCACTGTACTAATAACACTGGCTGGGAAGGGGTTAACAACTAGGGTGATCAAGGAGTAAATGCGTGCCTAACCATGTTTACAATGTGTAAAGTGTGATGCTTTTTACTAATGATGTCTTAGTTTCTCATCGCTGCTTTGCAGAGATGAGAAACAGAGAAATCGTTCCCTCTGCACAGAACTCTGTGTTGATTGACAACACAGAGCTGTGGGCTGTGATTGTACACAGCACATCAGCAGGCCCCGCCCATGAGACATTGGCCAGGACTTGCTGACAGGTGTACAATCACAGCATGTGCCGTTGGGGGGGTTGTGTGCAGGCACCTAGAAGCAGGCACGTATGGGTACTTCACTTTGCCTGTGGGGGCCGCCTGTCCACAGTAGATTGTGGTCCACAAGTGGTTAATGGTACCCCAAATGTGGTGTGATTTTGCAGCAATTTATTCAATTGCTGTTGGCGCCACTCAAAGTAGAGATGAAAGCATATCTCTGAGTCTCAGAACTTGAGGTGCAGGCTTATCCTAATACCAGTCCAGAGGGCTAATAAATGTAAGGAGGAAAGGATTGCCACTACCCTCGATCAATAATAAAATAAAACTCATGCACCGCTAAAAGTATGGTAAAACACATAAAATTGTAAATTATAAATTATATGATACCAATATAACAAAATTGAAAAATATGAAAGTGACCAAGTTCAATGACCTTATCTGTTATAGTGACATAAATAGATAATAATATAAGATGACAAGCTATAATATTCGCAAAGGTTTAAAAATATGAAAGTGACCAAGTTCAATGACCTTATCTATTATAGTGACATAAATAGATGACAAGATATAATATCCGCAAAAGTTTAAGGTGCCAGAAATCAATACATGCACTATGGCGTATGGTGAAGTGCAAATGTACGCACTATAAACATATGGTGAAGTATAGATGTGATAAGAACGTCCCCAATTGGTGTTTCCAGGTGCATATGTGGTTAAGGCGGCCATAGATTTCTGATTTTCTTGCCGAATTATCGGCCGATAAAAACATCGGCCGATATTCGTACTGTTAGTGGAGAAAAATGTGGGCCGTTTTTCTTAATTTTAAGAGATTTTGAAAATTGTCCAAGCTGGAAAATCCTGGGACGATTTGTTAGATTGGCCGATTTTCGTGGTAATTTACGATCAAATTGGCTGTTCTTCTGGCCAATTTGACAATAAATTGACTATGAAGAAGAAATAGAAGAAATAGATTTTGCAGGAGAAGAAAAAATAGAATATCAAGAAGAAGAATAGAAGAAAAGAGGAGAAGATGAAATAGATTTTGCAGAAGAAGACTGAGAAGAAAAAAAGTTGCAACATTGTATCTATTTGTATGCATTTCGGATACAGATGTTTCTATTCAAGTACAAATAGATACAATGTTGTTTCTCTTCTTCATCTTCTGCATAATCTATTTCTTCTGTCAAATATAATAGCAGGTCTCTATGCAGGGACACCTAAATTATATAAAATGATGGCTGTAGACGGGACTAAAACACGCCGACTTTTTTTTTTTTTTAATTAGTGTGAACGACCGATTTACGACTTTTGAAAAAAAAAAAAAAAAACGTCCGATTGTCCCCACGTCTATGGCCTGCTTTAGTGATTAATGTAGATTAGTGCAGATCCGTGATGGTGAAAGATAAAATAAATGGCCGTAGATTGCACTCACCAGAGAGCGCAAATGAATGCGCATTTGAGTATTAAGGACCAACTCCTGGTCATCAGCATCAGGTTACTTAAAACATCAGGTCATCTGGTGGGCATCAGGGGGCAGGCAGCACACCATCAGGTAATATTCAGCACTGAGGATGGATTAGCCACCAGGGGAATTACACTAGTAACTTCAGTCAGGTCACAATGGGTATCCTTGTGGAAAAGACTCACCAGAAGTGAGCCAAAACAAAAAGACTTCCCATAGTGTAGTAACTTTTAATTTATTCAAGGTAAAAATGAAAAGATGAAATAAACTCACAATGGATAAATGATGTCCAAATAGTAACAATCTGGTAGTCTGGTGTCCATAAGAAAGTGTACCAAACATACTGTGTCAGTGAGGCAGGCTTCCTGACATGTTTCGTGCACAAGCACTTTTTTCAAACGCACTACCCCCGATCAGCCCAGGTGAATAAACGATAAAGAGCGGCCTCAACCTACATATGTCCACCAAACCACACACCCTGATGCGATTCGTCCCGCCCACTGGACATTTGTTGCACAACAAAACATGCGTGAAAAAAGGCGCCTGGTTCAGGGCCAGAATTTGGTTCTTGAGCTTCTTTGCTGCAACAAATATACCTAGGGCAGCCCATTCAAGTGAATAGGCTGCCCTACAGTATGTGTGGCACACAGAAAATCATGCGACATGTAAATCATGATAAAAAACAAATCGCAAGCAGGAATGCACATTCCCAGTATGCGAGATGTGAACGGGGCCTCAAAGTCAATGGCAGGTTGTGGCTGGATGGGTTGAACATTGTAACAAGTGAACTTCTAGGTGTTCATCTCTGAATGTATAGAGCCCTAAACACGGGTACTATTCAGTACAATGTTCAGCCTCAGCAGGGCCTAAGGCCTCATTCACACAGATGTGCAGGCATGGAAAGCAGCAGGAGACAACATATTGCTGCAGCTGGGCTAACAGATGGTTTCAAATCGCTTCAACCA